CACAGACTTTTCTGAACTTGTTTCACAGCAGATTTGAGCTTCCACTCAAAGTGTAGCCTGCTAAGAGTTGCCCTCTCCCAGCAGTGCTGGCTGCTTTGCACCAGCCTGGCCTGGAGCAGCAGCACTTTGTCCCCTGGCCAGAGCTGAGCCCCTGTGCTGGAGTGCTCGCCTTCTCGGCCCCCCCAGACCGCTTCCCAGCACCGCCCTGCACCCCAGCAGCCTCCTGGCCAGCACAGAGGAAGCGGGTGCTGCCACAGTGTCCCCATGGGTGGCCTGGCAGTGGCTGCCTCCTGCCTGGCCCGGCTGGTCCCAGCCCCCTGCCTGCCTGTCCCTCCTGCCCGCTGAGAGTGGCTGCAGCCCTCAGCTCCTGCCTCACTGAGGGCAGGAAGCTCCCTCTGCGCTGGATGGCTCCAGTCCCCGCTCCCTCTGCTGAGCGCCTCTACTCCTCCAGGTCCAGGCCACAGCTATTTGGGGCTGCTTGGATAAAAAGCAGTAGGTTTTTTGATGATGATTTTTTTTTTTTTTTTTTGGCTTTAAGATACTACTTGGACACCCTCCCAGACCAAAACCATGCCCCAGCTGCACATCTGTGCCTGCTCCTACATTTCCATCACTCCCAAAGTGCCTCCCTTCTCTCCAGCAGCAGCCACAGCCAGACTTTCCGCCACAGTAGCTCAGCTATCTGCACGGCTGCATTGGCCTGTGTTGCCGACTCTGGTGTGGAAGCTAGTCCCAAGGGCATGGGGAGCTCCATGTTTACGGGAGGCGACCATCAGGGTGAGCTGAGACCTGGTTTCAGTGCAGGAGCTCTGGGCTGATGACTGGTGCAGACACACAGGGCAGTGCTCTCTGGTCCTGCCACTGCCTCAGCTGCTCAAGAGCTGTTGAAAGAGCAGGCAGGCATCTACAAGTGAAAAGTTCTTTTAGCTTTGGGAAGGGCAGCCCCCAGGAACCGAGATTTGTCAGTGTCTAACTGTTCTGCCCCTTGGAGCTGGTCCTACACCACCACACACAAGCTCACGTGCTGCTTCCAGCCTCCCAAAATTATTTGAGGCACTTCTGCAGCAATGGGGGAGGCATGCACAGCAACCTGCCCACTCATCTCATGTGCTAGCATCACACTCGTTGGGCCTAGAACACTTGCCAGCTGCTCTGCCTCTTCAGAAGGTGCCACTCGCTCCCTGCAGTCACCCTTTAATTACAGCTTGGCCAGTGCCCTGTAGCAATGAGCCTGATCCCCTCCTGCTCCGGCGCATGGAGCAGGTCAGCACCAAGGGCTGGAGTGCAGAGGCAGGTTACGTGCAGCCGCCAGCACCTGCCTCTGCTGAGGCCACAGACAGCCTCCACCTTCGGCAGCGTCAGGGCGAAGAGCTCTTCCTTCGACCACAGATACAGGGTAGCAGGGAATGACATTGCAGAGCAGCGCTGAGGCAGCAGGCCAGGGCATGCTTCTCCGCTGAGAGATTTGCTTTATCGCCTCCCCAGCATCCCCAGCGGGTCCCATTCCCCCCCTCCCCTAGGGAGCAGGAAGGCAAGTCCTTTCCATCACTGCCGCTGAAAAAAGGCGTTTCCCTTCCTCATCCTCCAGCAAGAGCAGGAGCACAGCTCTAGACAGAGCCAGGGCTGCCTCAACACCCCTGCCAGGCAAAATTTGGCTGTGGCAAGAAAGGTGCTGGTTTCCACAGCGAGTTCTCTCGCCGTTGGCTGGAGAGGGTCAGTTTTAGCAGACAGCACTGCATGTTAGTTTACAAACCCAGCCCTGCACGTTTGGCCTCTGTGAGTGTTCAGTTTCCCCATGGAGCACCCTTCTGCCGTACCACCTTGGTGAAGACAGCGTCCTCCTCTGGTAGACATGCAAGTTCCTCCTTGGCACATGTGCAGACACGTTTCAGTTTTTGTTCCAGACAGGAAGGTCTTGACCCCCAAGTTTGTTTCACAGGCAGGCTGCTGGTGGGAGCAGTGCTGAGCAGACACGACCCACTGGGGCGGTGGGATGGCAGCGTGGCCCGCAGCAGGTGGGGAGCACGCATACCCGCAGCCACGTTCGGCCAGCGCACAGCACTGGGCCAGCGATGGTGTGTGCTCCAGTTCCTGCTGCAGGAGCGCTGAGTGGGGAGCTGCCCTACCCCTGTCAGCGGGCAGGCACAGGCCCCTGCGCGCAGCAGCTGCAGCCGCAGCAGCAGGTGGCTCACATCGCTGCAGCCACACGCGGTACAGGCAACAAGCCACAAGACAGCACTTACAGGAGGTGCAGGCAGCATCCAGCCTGAGTCGGTGTTGGTCTGTGGCTGGACGAGAGGAAGGACTAGATACTGAACAAGGGTAAGAGTTGCACTAGAAGAGTCAAGACCCTCCTCTGTGTAGCAGGACTAAAAACTAGCAGAAAGACCAAAAGGTCTGAGATTTGCTGGTTACACCACTTTCTGTGCTACATGTGCAATATATTTGTTATGAATGTTATCACAAAGTCAGTTCATTCAATAATCTTTTAATCACCGTAGCTAGATGTTCTACGTCCATTCAAGTGACTTTTATTCGAGTGCAATATTTCAATAGACATGTAGTGACCTAGTATGCTTTGTGTTTTAGAGAATCTGTGTGCAGAGCAATGCAATTAAGTTTAAAACCTTGTAAATAAAACAGGTTGCAAACCAAAACAAACAAACAAACAAAAAAAGTATTAGGCTTGCATTTAATTTCTGTGAGTGTTTCAGTATTGTGCATTAGGCCGCCTCAGTACAGACCCTGTGTTCTCTGTGCAGGTATTAATGGAGGAGTGGCTCCTCGGCTGTTGAATGCTCCCTGTTAATGCTTTACTGCTTTAACTGTATTAATTTTTCTAGACTCCTGTCTGCACAAAATGCAATAAATGATTTTATTACACCCTTCACTACTTGCACAGGGAGTTTTCACTTGGTTCCAGGGTCTCCACAGCTATTTTTGCACTTGGCTGCTACCGCTTCCCTAACAAGGAGCAAGCCCCGACAGGGAGCAGCAGATTGCAGAGGAAGCAAAACATCAGGAGAGGAACAGCCTCTCCCAAGTGCCACGTTCCCATGTTTAAGCTCAGGCCAATTTCTGATCACCCCAGCGAAGATGCTTTACCTGTGTGCAGGGTTGTAGAGAGGGAGAAAGCAATCTAACAAAAAGAGACTGGAGGAGGAAAGATGGAAGACACATACTTCCATCCGATTTCAGGTTGTGTAGTAACGGCAGCACAAAGTCAAAGAAGGCCAGTGCTAAACGCACAGGGACTTGTAGACCTAACTTCACACAGCAGCCGTACAATTAACAGCAACTGTGACACTGGAGCAGCTCGCTGCTGGCCCGAGTGCACGCCCTCCCCTCCCACTACCAGCAGCTGGAGAGGCTTCGGACCTCTCACGCTGGCCCCTGCCACACACTGCTCCGGCACGCGGGTCCCCCAGTGGGCACGTGGGCTGCTCTGCCTGAGATCGTCCGAGTCCACTGTGCGAGAAAAAGTATCTGAGAGGTACTTCAAAACCAAAGTGTTATAAACCGATTACAGTATTCTCACAGCAGGTCACACTAAGGTTCGTACGCTTTCCACTTAGCATCCAGCACTGGGCAGTGTCGGACACAGCTGATCTGGAAGAAGAGAGTAATGGCAAACACAGCAGAATAATGTAATCCAGTAGTACTAAAGCTGTCAAGTGTCAAAAATGCAACAAAACGTTTTTCCTGCCTTTTTATTAAAAAGTAATGTCCTCTTGTTAACAGCACAGAGAGGAAAGAAAAAATGCTACAACACAAACCACCTGGGACAAAGAAAATCCTCTGCTCCAAGAACACTGCCGCCTTAGTTTCTTTTGGTTCTCTGCAGGAAGCCTACAGACTCTAAGGCGGCCGTGATGGGGAGGACCACATAGTTAAGAGATGTTTTGTGTTCTGGTATCAAAGTATGTTACTGGTTAAAAACATGGTGAAGAATCACTGCCCAATTTTCCAATCAACTGTCCGCTGCAGCTACCAAAGTGTTGAAAAAAAATGTATAAAATTATGCTATTGCACCTTGGCACTGCTTCTGCACCTTAGATGGACAGACCACCCATCAACAGTGAGATGAAGTTTCAGAGAGCAGACATTCACCACCTGGTAACTGGCTGCAGGTGTTCCCAAGGGAGGGCCAGCAGCACATCAGCGTGGCTGTGGCTGAGCTGTTGGGCTACAGTAACCAACCGTCCCAAAGCAAGATGATAAGAAAAGGAAATTTATACGCCAAATTTAACAGATTGATCTTAACACTGACTACTTGGTGTAGGAAAATTGACAGACAATTTGAAATCTCTGCCTTGGCTGGAAGCTCTTGTGTTTCAGATCTCCCACAGTAGTCAGACCAAAGCTGCCAGTTTCTGTGAGCTGGGCGAGGTGAGGAGCGTTTCTCTGCCTTGCTCTGCCAGGACATGACAGTCCAGCTACGGAAGGACCAAACAGCACGGTCCTGGATTACTGAGTAGTGGTCAGGCATGTGCTTCATGAGTTCAGCTGCTAGCACTACCACTGTATTTTCCAACTGGCTTATATGCCATTAAAAAAAGAAATAAAAAAAAGAAATCCAAAGAAAAATAGTGCCCATTCCAAAAAGGTGGGTCTCCAAGAAGGCCCAGTCAGCATACTGCTCTGTTCAGTCCCCTATTTCCTCGAAACCACTGACCCAAAACACTACTAAGACCATTCAGCAAGACCAGACTGCACTGCAATGTGAAGATGCACCAGCTGCTGGGAGTGAGGAAAATGCAGAAGGACCGTCATTGCAGCAGCTTCTGGGACTGGACAAAACAACCAATTATCCAAAGCGGCTCTTAGCACATCATGCCGCTGAGAAAACAGAGCATACTTCTCCAAACACTGCTAACCAGACCAAGGTGAGGAAGGGCAGCGCTAGCAACAGTCAGCAGCAATGCCACTGGGGGTACACTCTCGCCAAAGTGGAGAGGACATGCATATCCAGGGGCATTTGTCCCGTGTCAAGAACAGAGACTCTTTAAACAGCTATAAGTATGGAATGGCAAAGGGAAGGGGAAAGGGCCTGACAGCTCAGCTTTAATAGTGCCGCTGGTAGGAACCCATAGGTTGCTGGGCTGAGGACCCTGCTCGCCCCTGGGCCACGGTTTGGCTCACAAGGTGGGAGAGTGCAGGACCACTCTGGATAAGGGTGTCCAAGGCTTTCTGTACACTAGGGTTGTCAAAGTTGATACCAGAAGATACTGGCCTTTGAGCGGGTACATTGCCAGGTGCAGGGAGGCGATTTTGGTGCTGACCATAGAGGGACTGAGCTTGTGGAGGAGCTCCAGGTCTTGGACCTGCATTTCTTGAAGGGCCTTGGAGAGCAGGAAGCTGCGTGCTTGGAGTCTGCAATCTCTGCTGAGCCTGGTTTAGATTTCCAGCACTCATCTGTGCTGACCGGGCCTGACCGCTGGCCATGTTAGCAAAGTTCTGGTTTGGAGTGCTGCCCGAAGTGCCCGCAGAGGCTGCAGAACTGCTGTTTGCTACAGCAGCTGCTGCTGCTGCCGCCCCGCTGTTGAAGAGACTGAGGATTTTTGCTTGAAGCTCCTGCTGAGGATTAGAAGAGGACACTGGAACAGAAGGAGCAGAGACCAGAGGCTGTGAACCCTGATGAGCCTGAGAGCTTGGAAGGCTGGACTGACTACCCAAAGATGATCCTGAAGGTGCCCCCAAAGACTGTCTTGACATGGATGCTGGGAAAGAAAGAAAAGAGGGTTAAAGAGGGTTAAAGCTCTGCAAATGCCCTTGAAAGGGCACCTCAAGAAAGTTTGTGAAACAGCTACCAAAGACACAAGCATCAATGAATATCCACCCTCTGAACAGGAGAGCTGCACAGCTCTGGGGAACATGAACCATTCAGCAGAATTGTTGCCCTTCGTGTAGCAGCCAAACCATTTATGGCAGTCCCATGGTTTCCATGAGAGAATCCAATATAAAAGTTCTTTCACATGAAAGATCTGAATCGTCTCAGGACTCCCAAGGACAAGTCCACCTCAATAAAATGAGGTGCTGTGTGAGTAAATTATGACACTAGGACTCCTCTGCAGTCCCAGGACTGTTTTTGGGTCCCAGCCCAGAGGACCCACAAACCATCTGATTAACAGCCTTGTCTGGGGCTGAGAAACTTACCCTGCAGAGAATCAGTGCTTCCCCTCAGTAACCGTTCCTTCCGGTCTCTCAAGTAATTAATTACTTTATCAGTCTCCTCAGCAGTTAGATAACGATTGTCTGCCAGCAGGTTCAAGAGAGTCTGAATCCCTGGAGGGTGACCTCCTCTGACACCCTCCTCCATGGAGGGTGGGCGCTCCCGCTCCTGCAGAACAGCTTCATCTGCCATCTTGGCAGCCTGCCGGGCGATTTCCTCGCGCTCCTTCTCCCGTGACTCTGTTTTGTAGCGCTCATAATTCCTTGCCACCAGCACCATGGCATCAGCTTGGGGCATGTTGCGGTGTTCTGCAGAAGGAAAAGAAACGTTTTAAGTAAACCAAAGCAATGCTAACAGGAGGTGCCTTGCCTCACGCACACCAGCACATCTCATTCAGCAGGCGGGCACCGCTTTGGGATTCCAAGCATTGACTTGGGAAGCTTCCTAGGCACACAATAACAGTTCAATTTCCTAAGGTGACAGAAGGCTCAAGGCTATCACTCAGCAAGGCCATCCTTTACTTCCATAGCTGAGGGCTCTGAGAAGATACCCTATCAGCCCAAGAAATATCTTTCTTGCCTCTCATCCAATTAAAAGGGAAAGCAGCTCCCTCTATCTCTCACATAAATTCTCCGTGCTCCAAGAGGAGACAGTTCCAGCCATTCTACTGCTAAAGCTTTGGACAGATCCAAAACTTGCCCTCTGAAGGCTGCTAAAGCTTCCCAGAGCAGGACAGCGATGGGAATACTTTTTGATTCTGTACTGGCAATGCCTTAATAGAGTGTGTGCACATGCAGGAGATGGGGAGGAAAGAAGCACTGGCTCAATGTCACATTGCTGTTTATGTTTACTACTCTGAGGCAAAAAGCAACAGTCAAATTCTTCTGTAATACAACGAACAATGGTCAATTTCAACTTTTTTTTGTTTTTTACACTTGCCTTTTAAAGTTTTTGAGGTCATTATTTCCACCTCACAAAGCACACATGCAAATATTGCCCTGAACACAGATTTAAGCAGGGAGATCAAAAGAGAAGGCCTTTACCTTCCAAAAAGCGCCCAAAGCTCTGGGCACTTTTCACACCTGCAGATCATCAAATGCTGCCACCCTTTTCCTCGTAATAGCAAACTAGGGTTCATTTTAACATTACATTTTGCACAAGTTGTGAAGGAGCTCCCTAAAACTAATCTGAATTGAAAGGTGGCCGCATGCAGTTCAAGTGAGCATATTTAATCTCTAGAAAGAGCTGTGGATGAGCTAATGACTGGTGTTCTTATCAGATTTGATACACTGTTAGATCCAGTAAAGCAGAGAAGCTTTGGCGGGAGGATGGGTGTTAAACCAAAGGAGTTAGAGTTAAAACTGAGGGCAGTGGAAAGCCCAGTGAAAGTGTGTGTCAGCTGTATTTGTGCAGGAAATGAGAGGACCCTCCTATCGCATCTGCATCCAGTGTCAAAAGAAACCGGGCTTCTTCAGCCAGTAAGCAACCAAAAACCAGTGACTGTGCGTTCAGAAGTTTACTCTCCCAGATGAATCTCACAAAACATTGCTTGAGAACACGATAAGGGAGAAATAACCTGATCAGAGCAAAAGGCTGCTTTCTGAGATCACATTCTGACAAGACGTTTTTTTAATACCTACACCCACCCTCACGCTCAGCACAACCAAGTCACACCCTGAGATGGGAAGCGATGCAACAAGTATAAATGGCACTAAAATGCTAAAAAGGTGGAGCACGTACAGCAAATCACTTTATAGGTGTATCTTTTTATAACTCTTCCTAGTTTCACAATCAGATCTTTATCTTGACTGAATACGCTATCCTTATTCTGTTCTCCTTAAATCACATTTGGTTTTAAAATCTGTCCTGTAATTTGTCACATTCCAAATATGATCTATTTGAGAGCAACAAGTGATAAACTGAGGTTGGACTGGTATTACTCAGAAATCTGCCAAATCAATGCAGTCACTTCTAGAGCTGGGGTTCAAGATTTGCCCTAAGATGCAATGGCTGGTGATGTTAGGTGCTAAGAACACAGCCGAGATTCTCTCTTGGCAGAAATTAGACAGTCCTTTTGACAAGGGACAAGTAAAGCATTATGGAAACTTGTAAATAATGATATTCACATTTATGACATGGTGTCAAGTCATTAATAACTACTTATGTCACAGCAAGGATGAACTTTGTCCTGTGTGATTCTGCTTGAAAGAAAGTGTTCTAAAGCAGCACTTTGAGTGGTTCAGAGTGACCACAAAGCTACACAGCCTACTGAGACCTCAGTACCTTGTGGAGTGCCAAACATGATGTTAACAGTGCAAGAGCGGTGAACTTGATGCTGCTGGGTGATGACAATGGCAAAAGGAGACCCTCCTCTGCTCACATCGTCCAGGGCTTGCGTCAGTGACATCTCTGTGTTGAGGAAGATCAGGTCCACTACCATGCCCAGATCCCGCACCTTCCGCCCCACTGACTCCGCGTACTCCCTACCACAAAGCAAAGCCAGCAGAGTTTAACAAGTCAGTCACATACAGAAACAGAAACCCTGGCACATTCACCCTCTCCGTCATCTCAGATTCGCTTTTCTAATGGCTTGCCAAACGTCATAATGTTTAACAGGACAGTATTAAAGCAATCTCATTACAATAATATAAAAGCCCATATCCTACCCTTATTTTGATCTGAAACCATCATTTCAGTTTAACTGAAATAGACTACAAATCAAGCCTCAGCTTAGCTGAGAGACAGAGTGTTTGCAAAGGGATTTACACTGTTATATATTTGCTTACATATAAATGTGTTTAAACTGAACTCATTAGGTGAGGTAATTTATGCCTGCACAGATCTAAGGGGTACACCGCAGAGCAGCTAACCTACAGAAGTCAGTTACTTGTGCTATGTTCAGTACCTTAACTGTTCAAATACACCTTATCCTAATTCACTGTAGCACAGACCAGCTTCTGGACTTGAAGATTAATTTTCAGAGGATAACTACCCATCCATAAGCATTCACTTGAGTTCCAAATACATTTTTCTCTTGCTCTTTTGTTCTACTAGCTGCTTTCTGCTCTAACCCAGTATCAACACAGTATCTATCGATCCACTGTTCCTGCATCCACTGTCCTGCAGATTTCCCATTCCGAACACAAACCACAGCTCACATGGCTGAGCTTCAAGTTTTCAAGTCTTTTTTTAAGCTTACTATACTCAGTACCAAAACCTGCAATACAGACTGCACATGCATTCTGAGAAATTTAGCCTGTGTGCACCCACACCTTTTGAAAGAGGTTCCATTTATCGACTTTGGATGCAAACACTGTAACGGTGACTAAATCTGTTCACCCCCCACCAACTGCCTTTTTAAGGATTTCTAAGTTACACAGACTGTGTATCTAAGTTCTTTGGGAGTCATCTTTAAACAGGTCTACAGTAGGTGACATCAATGCTTCAATATCCAAGATTTATTAATGTGCTCCAGCTCATAAGGTTTGTAGCTGTTACAGACCAAAACGATCCTTAGGGTATTAAGCTGATCCTCTTGCACAAAAAAAATTCTCCCTGTATCAAGTACAGTAACTTGTGGTCTGTTAGAATATCTTCCAAAGACTTTTAGTCACCAAAGGATAAAGAATCTAAAATTTCCTTTCAAGATTTGTTCCCCTAGGTAATCAGCTCCATTAAAAGCAAACCACAGAAGTGTACTTCTAGTTTCACTGCTTCCCTTGTTCTGATTTCCTGTTCTGCCTTCTACCACCAGATCAGGGAAGCGCCAGCTCTCTCTTTCTGCCTCACAGATATAGGAAAGTTAAATAAAAGCAACTCGTGATCTTTTTTCCAAAGGGCTAAGGAGACAGAACTTAAATTTCCTCTTGACAACCATTTTCTTCAGAACCCAACCCAGATCTATGATTTATTTACGTGTTTGCTATTCTTCAATATATTTATTTGTAAAGATATAGGCATCAGACTGGTGCCATCATTACAGCCCCCTTTCACTGTACCAGGCATACGTGCACTCCTCTGTTCCCAACACAGCGCCCGCTCTCCAAACTAAGGACATACTAACATTTTTGACACAAGTCCCTTTGACTCCTAAAATTGTTTTAAGTCCTTACATTCCAAGAGAAAGCCCACCGTTCTACAGGGATGGCCTGCATTTTTGTTTCTAGATAAACAATCTTGCATTCAGCACAATAAAAAGACACGCTGTGTTTGAGTGGGGACACCTCAGTAAGCGTTCAGACTGCCACATGAGATTGCCCTGGTTACTACTTACGCATGCTTTCAATATCGTTCACGACTACTTTCAACAGTGATTTTATACTTCTTGCACATTGGATTAACAGTATTGACTGGTATCTGACCTAGTAACCAATCTGACAGGAGCTCTGAAACGAACACCCCCACAACTCCTCCCTGACAACTGTTCTGAACTATCTGCTGGTTGGCACATATTAATAAGTTCCATAACATCCAACCCATGAATAACAAGTACAGGTCACTATGACCTGTTGCGACAGTAGGCTGATATGAAGAGTACATAGAAAAGTATCAGGAGAAGGTATAGTGATAGGTGACAAGAAGGGAATAAAAGCAAAGCACAAGATACAACATTTCTCCATCTCATCAACATGTATTCTCAGAACAGCAACAGGAGCTGTAGCTTTCTGAGGGCTCTAAAGCCACGCTCCTCAAGAGCAACCTGTAAGACAAACAGTCTCAAGGCAGGACTACATTTAATTCCATTTTCTTCTACCATGCAATAATAAAATTGGTCATAACTATTTTCTTACTTTGTCTGTTTATTCACCACTATCACAGAACAATCCACAGGTCTCTCTGCATCAAAACGTCTCTTGATTTCCTCGTAGTACTGACGGTACAGCTCCTCTCGGCGCCGCTCCTCACGCTTCAGACGGTCTGAAAGCAAGCCATAAGGACAGAACAAATAATGCCCTTTGGACCTGCTCGGAGTGTCATGGAATGCAATGCCCTTGGCACTGCAGGCATCTCCTGCATCCTCCCAGAGGGAGAATGTGAATCTGCCCATTATAGTGTTACAGGTATTCACCTTCTGAATTCACCGGTGCTCTATCAAAATGCTCTTTGTAACGGTCATAGTAAGAGTCATCCTTCCGCCGATAGTAGTCTTCAAGGTGAAGGTAACGGTCGTAAGATTCATCTCGTCTGCAACATGTACAGAAGAAGCAAGGGTTTGCATGCTCCAGCACAATCTCAGGCAATAACTTGCCAATGCATCACCCACAGACCTTCCTCAAGTTTAATTTCTGAAGTACCCACCTGCTCCCCAGAAAACACAAAGCAGGCACCCAACTGTCCCCAGCCAGAGCAACTTCCTTATCTTAAGTGCCTGACACCACTCAAACCAATGCAGCCATCGAGGCAGGATCACCGTAAAAACATGTTGCCAACTACAATCCTACGGAAATTACCTGTACAAAGGGTCCCGAGGGTCTCTGATATCCCGTGGATCCCTCATATCCCGTGGATCCCTCACATCCCGTGGATCCCTCACATCTCGTGGATTCCTCATATCCCGTGGATCCCTGTATCGATCATACAGCGGCTCCCGTGGGTCACGAAGATCTCTAACATCACGAGGGTCCCGCAAGTCTCTTGGATCCCTGATATCTCGTGGGTCTCGCAGGTCCCGTGGGTCCCTGTGGTCTCTAGCGTCACGCATGTCTCTAGCTCGAATGTCTCGAGTGTCTCTGGAATCTCGTCCGTTTCTACCATCCCTGCCATCTCTGGGGTCTCTCCTTGGGCTCCCCCGAAGAGGGGAGCGGTCGCGTCTGGCATCTCGGCCATCCCCATAGGCATATGGCTCTCTGAGGAAAACAGCATGGAAATTCCATTAGACTGCTAACGACATGAGTACTGTTACCCCTAGATCTCTTACCTGAGGTGCCAAAGTGACCCTCCTCTCAGCAGCTGAATCCACCCTCCTATCCCACAACAGCAAAAATTGCCCAAAAACGGTATTTGTTGAAGCAGCCTGGAGAAGCTTCTTAATTCCAATATTTATTGTAGCCAAACAAGACCCACAAAGCTCCTTAATGGAGCATCACTAAAAGTGTAGAGCACCTGTGGAAGAAGTGAACAGGCACCTCAGAAACATTTCAAGGCCTCTGGCCTCCAATGTCAACCACAGATCATCTACCAAACATGCTTTTGCAAATTCTTTGAGACTTCAAGGTGCTGGAGACTAATACCCACAAATATGCAACAGCCAGGAGCATTCAAGGGATCCATTAAATCCACTAGTCAATGACAGCAGAATACCTGAAATAACTTGTTACTGGCATATGATTAAAAAAGGAGCTTGTTGTGACCAAAGACACTGTAGGTTCCATGTTGCGGTTGGGTTTGTGCTGCTAGCAGAAAGCAGTGATAGCTACCGTTGTGTCCTGGGTTTGAAGGGATAGTTTCTGTAGAAAGCCAGTCTTATGTTTACGATGCCCCATGTTAAGAGGGTATTAAACCCAACCAGCATGGCATCCTCATCAGCAACAGGCTTCTCTGTCACATCTGAATGATCCATCTCATTCAGACTTTGTACTGCACTTTCTTCAGAGGCAAGGAAGAATAACATTCCAGTCTTCATCTTTTCCCAGAACAGTAGGGGTTTTTTCCCAGGTCATATTTTGTTTTCCAGAAAAAAAGATAACTTTCACTGTAGTCTAAGCCAAACATAAAAAAATCTTGCAGAGAAACCACTTAGCTTCACGTGTTTGGAATGTTCTTTCCCCAAGATACTGACAACCATCAGAAAAAAACCCAGCTTTTTGAATCTTTTTATTTCCAAAACTTGACAGACTTTGAGAGTCCTCTACCAGTTTAATCTAGTTTATGAGAGATAAGCAGAACATAAGCCTGCTTCCACTACAGTGATTCACGTAGTAGTCACCTGGAGAGAACAGCAGGAGCAGCGAGTCAGATGTGCCCAAGTTCAGTGTCAGGTAGAGCAGACAGTAACGAGATGGATGTACGGAGACTGTGCATGGACTTTGGTGGTTAGACACCCAGCTGTGCTGGGGGATACAGAGGAGTGCTGGCATTCTCTATTTTTACGTCACATACAAAACAGATCTTGGGACAAACTACAGTGTTGCCACCAAGAGCATATATAGCCTCCTCCTATAAAAGACACACTGTATTTGCACACAAATAAGTGTAAACTCCTTCAGCCTCTTGGACACACAAATCTGCTTTTTGTTTGTGATCTGTATTGAAACCACATCCCACGAAGGGTACATGTCATCACCCCCTTCCCCCCAACCTACAGCGAAGGATGGCAGAAGCTCAGGGGAAACTTCTGATTTGCTCTAATGGATACTGAGTAACTGATCTTTCTGTAGCTGTAAGACTATATAGCAAAACAGCCAGATGCAGTATAATTGTTTGGCATATGACATTTATTCCAGCTGGAGTGGGGGTGACCAGGCCACATTCATTATCTGCAGGGACAAAAAGATCCAGAATGAACAATGCACAACTGCAACAGAAGTACAGACATGGCGCAGGTCTCTGCTCTTGCACCTGCATCGCTGCCCTGCTGCTTGCAGAGAGGCAGCAGCATGAAGGCACAGCAGCCTTCTGCTTCCACGCCTCTGTCACCACGGTCCGACTCCTGCAGCGACAGCACCGCTGCCCGCATCTGCTCGTGACTCAGTACCGCTGGCCAAGCACCGCCGCCTGCGGCGCAGCGTGGGACTCTGCACCCCGGCATCAGCAGCTGTCATTCACACGCCTGCAGCGCAGTCCAGAGTTCATCGTCCACCATCTGTGCGCCCACAGCTGTGCCCAGGCTTGATGCCCATGACCTCATCGCCACCTGTGCCCACAGTGCTGCTTGGGACCCAATGCTAGCCACACGGGATGGCCACGGTGTCTGCAGTGCCAGCTGGAATCCAGTGCCTGTCACAGTGGCGCCAAAGCCTTCAGCAGCCATGGCGGTAGTCCAGACCACAGCCCGGTGCCCGTGGCTCATGCAACTCCAGCGCTCCTCAGGGCTCACGACATGGGCATCTGCTCTTGCATGCATGCAGGGTGACACAGGTCCCAATGCCCATAGCATCAGTGCCTGCTGCTGGTCCCTCTGTAACGTGGTCCAAGGACCAACACTCATGGCATAGGTGCCTGCCTCTCACACCACAGTGCTGCTCGGCGCCTTCAGCGTTACGCACCTGCAGTGCCACTGAGACCAAAGATGTGCCATCAGTGCCTGCTGCTCATGCACTTGCAGTATTCTTGGGGGCCTCATGCCAGCACTGAGCACACCTGACAGTGCCCAGGCCCAAGGCTTGCCACATCTGTAACAGAAACCCCCAGCTGTGTGCCCAAAGCACTTCTGGGCGATGTCCACGTGCTGGTCTCTGCAAGTGCATTTGGCCCTGTGCAGGGTAAGCGTGCAACATACAAAAGACCTAGATGATGCCAAGAACTGCAGCTACTGATTCTCTGGTTTTTGGTGGTAGATGTCTTGCTAGTTGCACTTTTTCCTCATTTTTGGTAATTTAACAGGTCAAGTTAGTAGAGCACACCAGACACGTGAGAGCCTGATTAACTTCAAGTCCAACACATAACACTCCTTTGTGTGGAAAGCTTTACAGTATAGGCATGGAAGATGCACGCCTTATACCAAACTGTAACCACGTGCGTTCCCTAGTAATGCCATGGAAAGAAAACCGAAGTTGTCTTCCTGTGACAGGACAGTGCGCGTCTTCTCCACCTGCCTGCAACTTCGCACACAGAGGATGTGCAGGAGCTGTACACACTGTGCCTACCGAAGGGTGGGACACCAGAAGCTGGCAGGTACACATCACTAACTGCACAGAAGGGGACTGGTTCCAGGTACGGACAACGCAAGCACACATGCAGATGGGACAGTGCAATAGAGATGTTTGCTGTCTTGTGCTTCGCTCACATGCTCTTTTCCAGTCTCATTTCAGCACTGGGAGCTTTTGACATCAGAAGAGGCAAGATCCCGAAGTCCTCTGCAGCATGGCACTGGGAACGCTACGGCCCCTCGGCATT